TAAAAAGTTTGAGGACCCCTGAATCAAGTGATCAAAGTACACATGACCAGGAATGGGAGAAATGAAATGTGTGCCATCTGATACGAGGCCATGAGGAGAGAATTGCAAAACTTCCAGGATATTCTTGCCAAAGATACATAACTTTGTACATGACTGAGTCATGAGGAAACATCAGACAAATTTAAACTGAAGGAAGCCCTACAAAATAGCAGCCTGTACACTCTAAAAGTGTCAAGATCACGAGCATCTGAGAAAGGAAGACTGAGGAACTGTACCTGATTAAAGAGGACCAAAGCGCCTGTAGCTCAGCAGCTAGGGCACCAGCCTTGTACACCGGAGCTGGTGGGTTTGAGCCGAACCCGGGTCCGCCAAACAACAATGACAACTACAACCAAAAAGTGGCCGGGCTTTGTGGCGGGTGCTTGTAGTCCCAGCTACTTGGGAGGCTGAGGCAAGAGAATTGCTTCAGCCCAAGAGTTTGAGGTTGCTGTGAGCTGTGATGCCACGGCACTCTACCAAGGGCGACATAGTGAGACTCTGTCTTAAAAAAAAAGAGGACAGAAGAGATACACCAACTAACTGTAACAATGATGCTTTTGCTTTACAGAAGCCATTATTAGAACAGTTGGCAAACTTGAATGGGAGTGTAAGATGAGAGGGTAGTAATGATGTGTTGGTGTTGATTTCCTGACCTCACTGGTTGCCTTGCATTGTGGTTACACAGGAGAATGTTCTTGTTCACATGACGTACACACTAATATATTCAGGAGTAGTGAATCAGTTTATTCTTAAATCATTCAGAAAAAAAAGTTCCTTGTACTATACTTCTAACTATTCTGTAAGTTCCTGATTTTGGTAAGTTTCAAAATTTAATTCAGAATTGATGTGCTTATGGAGCAGTTAGGTGGGACAAGGCAGTCCCAGCACCCTAGGTGGAGGCAGTGAAAACACGCTGGCCTTACGCAGGGATGGGCTTAGCCCAAAGTAGCAGCAGGTCATGCTGGGGAAAGCCCAAGGGCCAGGAGAGCCTCTGTCTTAGGAAGCTGCTTATCCTGCTGGGAAATCTCACAAATAAAGCTGGTGGATTCAACTGGGAGGTGGCTGCCTGCTTGTTTTTCCAGGCAGTACAGTGAAGAAACACTTGGCTTGAATTAAATATATATATACATTTTTTGTAGAGACAGAGTCTCACTTTATTGCCCTCTGTAGAGTCACACAGCTCACAGCACACAGCTCACAGCCAGCTCCTGGCTTAAGCAATTCTCTTGCCTCAGCCTCCCAAGTAGCTGAGAATACAGGAACCCTTCACATGTTGCACTGGCCACGGCTAGGTTTGAACCCACCACCCTTGGTTTATGGAGCCGGCGCTCTACCAGCTGAGCCACAGATGCCGCCCCGGATTAAATATTTTCTTTAAAAAATATTAATCTGAAAAAAAAAATATCTTCTGATGGCATTGCAGTGTCTGTGGGCAGATGAATGTAGTACAGGCATAAAACAGAATATATTCAGCCTGGAAAAGGAAGGCCTTCTGTCACATCCCCAGGGTGGTTGAACCTTGAGGGCATTATGTATGTGAAATAAGCCAGTCACAAAAGGACAGATACCATGCGCTTCCATTCATAGGAGGTACCTAGAGAAAATTCATAGAAACAGAAAGTGGAATAGTGGCTGTCCGTGGCTGGGGAGTAAGTGCTTAATGGGGGCAGAGCTTCAGTTTTACAAGATGGAGAGAGTTTTGGAGATTGTTTGCACAGCGATATGAATATACCTAACAGGCTCAGCACCTGTAACTCAGTGGTTAGGGTGCCAGCCACATACACTGAGCCTGGTGGGTTTGAACCCAGCCTGGGCCTGCTAAACAACAATGACAACTGCAATAAAAAATAGCCAATCATTGTGGTGGGTGCCTGTAGTCCCAGCTACTTGGGGGGCTGAAGCAAGAGACTCGCTTAAGCCCAAGCGTTTGAGGTTGCTGTGAGCTATGACACCACAGAACTCTAACGAGGGTGACATAGTGAAACTCTGTTGTTATAGGATGGACGTGAGATATCAAGACCCAAAGTCAATTAATATAGTGCCAATTAGGAAGTCTTTATTAAAGAAAAGACTGAACGGTCGGCTGTCTCCCCAGTATGGAGAGCAGCCCAGACTACCGGTAGAGTTCAGCTTATATAATGTGGGCTGATCAGAAAACTGCAGAGGCAGGTATTGTTTAAATGCTCACAGGGTATACAATAAAAATAATCACAGACATCCAGTCACATTGGTTTCAGCCTTCCTTCTGAGAATATCTGTCTAGCCACCATGTCTGGTTGGGCCTCTCAGTATGGTGGGGGTCGCAGAGAGCAGACTGGGGAAGTTTCTGCAGCTCAGACTTCTCAGCACCACGACCTCTGCTCCCCCGACTTGTTTCCTTCTGTCTCCTTTAACATTTCATTAAACAGGTTATTATGATTTCTTACACACTTAGCTAAACTTAATATCTAATGCTTTCTACCATTTATCATTTATTAATCTTTTTGTTATCTATTTTACCTACTCCTACACTATTGTTAAGCCTTAGTACCTTCCCTAAACTACTGTTAAGCTGTCTCCCTCCCCCTCTCCCTCCCCCTCCCGCTATTGATTGTGTCTTGCTGATTTAGCAAGAATTGAAGGGTGAAGCAAAAAGGAAGGCAACAAAGGGGCGAGAGTGACAGGGTTTTTATCCCATCTCACTGTCTCAAAAAAAATAAAAAGAATACACCTAACACTGTTGGACTGTATGCTTGGAAGTGGTTAAGATGCTACATTTTATGTTAAGATATCACAATTAAAAAAAAACTCCCTGACTGGGCCTGTTGGCTCCCTCCTGTAACCCTAGCACTCTGAGAGGCTGAGGCCTCTCTGGCCTTGGGTGATTTTTTCATTCATAAGATGGTGACTAATTTGTTAAGCAGAGAAAAAAGGAAAAACATTTCCACTCTGGCCCTCCCTTTTGGTTCTCTCATTATTAACTTTATTCTTTGCCCTTTATGGAAGTATGTATATCTACTCCTGTCTGATCTAATGCAACTTTCCCTCTGGTAAAAAGGTTTGTAATCTGCAGTCCTTTCCACCAGGGGCCCCTGACCACTCTGTCTACCTCTGAGTTCAGGGTCTTTGGTGATACCCATTTCTTCTCTGGTGAAAATGCCTTCAAACATAAGAGGAGGCTTCAAATGCTGGGCATTCAAGAAATAACAGGAGTGCTAAAACCAGATCCATGTTGGTATCCAAGACCTTGCCTGAGTTACTGTGGGTGCTTCCTGAAGCTGGTGTTATAAAACTATAAACCTGGGGTATGTGAGCAGTTGTTCACTGGTGATTCTAGTCCTTCCTTGCAATTTGTTTTTGTCTGTCACTGTGGGCTTTTTCTTGTTGTTTTTGCTTTTCATTGTTTCTGTTTGTTTTTGAGATAGTCTCACTGTTGCCCTGGGTAGGCTGTAGTGGCATCATCATAGCTCACAGCAACCTCAAACTCTTAGGCTCAAGTGATCCTTCTGCTTCAGCTTCCTGAGTAGCTGGGACTATAGGTGCCTTCCATGCCTGGCTGATTTTTCTATTTGTGATAGAGACAGGGTCCTGCTCTTGTTCAGGCTGGTCTCAGGCTCCTGAGCTCAATGGATCTTTGGCCTCCCAGGGTGCCAAGACTGTAGGAGTGAACCCCTACAAACAGCCTGTTAATGGCCTTTATGGTCTTTGTGGCAAAAAGGAGTGTATCATTAAAATACGTTACTTGCAAAAACATGATGTTCAGAGAGACAGAGGGGCCTGAGTTCATTAAGTGGCTAGTGACTGAAAGCATGATGCATATCCCTGAGCCTCCCCTGGGTGGCACTCTGACAAGGGCCACATTGTGTCTCAGTTAAGGGCTGGCAGAGGCGGGTACTCGGGAAATGACCAGTGAATGGATTCCTGCTGACTGACGTGTCCAACATTCAGGTAATGAGTAATTAAATGACCAATTTCGTTAGCGAATTATTTTCTGTGGGGAGAAGACACTGAAGTGTTAAGGAAATAACCAGTTTTTCTGAGACTAGGATTATTTCACAAGCATTTATTAATCGAGGGGCATCAGCAGGCTTAGCCCAGGATGTTAATTGCTGAGAAGGACTTTCTGGAAGCCAGGGACTTGCTCCCAAGCCCTGCTGTGCCTCTGTCAGGAATCTGGGTCTCCAGGGCATCATTTGGGTCTTGCCTGCTCAAAGTACTTATGACAGGCAGATGTGAGTGCAGCCACAAACACGACGAACTCGCTGAAGTCCACCTCGGCATCTCCATTGGCATCCAGGTCCTTGAGCAGTTTGTCCACAGCATCCTTGTCCTTTCCACTCTAGAAGAGGGAGAAGCCCAGGGTTAGCAAAGGGTGCACCCCACTGCTATGGGGCAGAGGGAAGGCACCCAGTTGTCCCTCTGGCTCAGCGCTGGGAATGGCTGTGCATAGCAGACACGTGCTGTCCCTGGAAAAACTTGAAGGCTTTTAAGAAGTGAGCTGTCCTAGGCTATGTGGCATGACAAGAAGTAACTTGTGGGAGGTGCCCTTAGCTCAGTGGGTAGGGTGCCAGCCACATACACTGAGGGTGGTGGGTTTGAACACAGCCTAGGCCAGCTGCAACAAAAAAATAGCCAGGTGGTGTGGTGGGCACCTGTAGTCTCAGCTACTTGGGAAGCTGAGGCAAAAGAATGGCTTAAGCCCAAGAGTTTGAGGTTGCTGTGAGCTGTGATGCTACAGCACTCTACTCAGGGTAACATAGGGAGACTCTATCTCAAAAAGAAAAAAAAAAAGAAGCAACTTGTAATGTTTTAGGTCAAATTTCAATTGTTTTGTGCTATGCAGGAGGGAGTTTTATTTATACTTTTGAAGGGGATAAGCTTTGATTTTATTGTGTGCTTTAAAGCGATGGTTATTCCCAGGAAATGTATCCACTCAATGCTCTATTCTTTGTGCACTGAATTAGTTGCTTTACACAAACCTGTGACCTCGCAACCACCAGGCAAGGAAGATGCATCACTGTATTACAGATGGAGACCGTAGTCTCCGAGATCACACAGGGAGAGAGGAAAGCTGGGGTTGAGACCCAGGTGTGGAAGGTGCACAGAGGTGCCGTCTTCCTCTCTGCTTAGGAACCCTGGCCGGGGGCCCAAGGTTCCAGGTTTTCTTTGAGAGGGTCAGGCTGGCAGGGGTTTCTGAGTCTGCTGGTGTGACAGTTGGCAAATGCAGGATCCTTAGCAAGGGACCAAGCACAACCAGCATACAGAGCTGAGCATAAGCAGCAGGGGGGCGCTGACGACCCAGCCCTGGCTGGAGAGCTGCCCATCCCTGGTGGAGAAAACAGTTAATACGGTGGAAACGAATTATCTGACAGAGACTAGGCCCAAGGATGTAATAACAAAAGTAAGGGAGAAAGCACGATTTCAGTAGTAAACAAAGCGGTATGTCCATGTTGGAATACCTCATGGCCATTCCAAAGGATGCTTATGAAGTTTGTCCCCAGATGGTCACACAGTATTTATGAAAACCCGGCTGTGCTAGGCACTGGGCAGGGCATGGAGGAAACAGAGCCACTGGGTCATTCTAGTCCCTGCTCAGGTGGACACTGTTCTGACTTGCCCTGGCTTTGCTATGCTCCAGAATCCTCTGGAGGGAGGGCTGGGGTTGTGCAGACACCTGGGCTTTCTGTTTTGCTCAGCCCCCAGCAGACACTAATGTAACTCAAGGTAGGGAATCCCTGGTTTGGCCACTCGTTCTCAAAGCGTGTTAATTGGATACTTGCCCCTTGCTCTCCTGTACCCCGACATCTTGGGTCACAATCCCCAGGGGCTAAATTCTCAAACCTGACCACTGATCATTATCAGAATACCTCATGCCCCAGGTACAAGTTCTGAGGGTGGGTCAAAGTCTGAGAATTTGTGCTGTGATGTTAAGTTTGAAATGAAGTTAAATTGCACATAGATTAGGATTTCACATCACTTTTGCATGGGGAAGAGTCTGGGAGGGAGACAGAGGGTCTGAATTCCAGGGGGAAATTTCTTCCCTCCATGTTTCTATATTTTTACACTTTCTTTCTTTCTTTTTTTTTTTTAGAGACAGTCTCACTTTATTGCCCTTGGTTGAGTGCCGTGGTGTCACAGCTCATAGCAACCTCCAACTCTTGGGCTTAGGTGATTCTTTGGTCTCAGTCTCCCGAGTAGCTGGGACTACAGGTGCCTGCCACAATGCCCAGCTATTTTTTTGTTGCAGTTTGGCTGGGGCCGGGTTCGAACCTGCCACCCTTGGTATATGGGGTCAGCACCCTACCCACAGAGCCACAGGCACCACCCTACTTTTACACTTTCTATCACAAATGGAACTTTATTTTTATTTTTATTTTTTATTTTTTTATTTTTTTTTGAGACAGAGCCTCAAGTTGTCCCCCTGGGTAGAGTGCCGTGGCCTCACAGCTCACAGCAACCTCCAACTCCTGGGCTCAAGCGAGTCTCCTGCCTCCACCTCCCAAGTAGCTGGGACCACAGGTGCCCGCCACAACGCCCAGCTACTTTTTGGTTGCAGCCATCATTGTTGTTTGGCGGGCCCTGGCTGGATTCGAACCCGCCACCTTAGGTGTATGTGGCTGGCGCCTTAGCCGCTTGAGCCACAGGCACCGAGCCGGAACTTTATTTTTAAAAGATATCTTCACTGCATTCATGTTTTGTGCAGAAGTGATGCCGGAATTTCCAGTTGTGAGCACCAGCATAGGCGAAGCCCCAGAGGCAGTGGCCATGTCTGGAGGCCTGAGGGGGGAGGAGGGTGGGAAGTGGAAGGAAAGCGGGGGGGGGGGGGCCCTGCTTACACCTGGGAGGCTGCCCCTGCTTACACCTGGGAGGCTGCCAGGTGAGGGAGGCCCCTCCATCAGGACCTGAGGTCCTTCTTAAGAGATTGCTTTGAGACATACGAACCCACTGGCTGCAGTTCTGGGCAGACCAGCACCAGGATGGGACCTCTTTCTGTCCTCATTCCTGTCAGTCTCATTAATACCAGGTGACAAGGCCTGGGACTGGGAGGAAGGCAGGCAGGTAGGCGGTGGAGGAGGGGTATTGTGGTCAGCAGCCCGGGAGAGGGATAACAGCAAAGGCCCTTCACAGGGTCCTGCATTCCAGTCTGTCCACTCCCACCCTACAAACTGGCCCCGCAGGCAAGGAATCCTGGCCACCTGGACACTGGGCTCAGCTCCACGTGTCAAGGATCAACCTGATCACACCCTCTCATTGCTCAGACACTCTGGTGCACCCTGCCTGGGGTGGCAGATCTATCTGTTGGCTAGGCTGCCAGAACATTTCAGGATCCACCTCTCTGCCCCACCCCACTGCCTGCCTGGCTTGGTGCTCACCTGCAGGAAGCCGGGGAGCTCCTTCTCCATCAGCACCTTCAGCTCCCCCTTGCTCAGGCTATGCCCGTTGCCCTCGCCACCTGAGTACCGGGCAAAGACGTCGATGATCATGCCCATGGCTGTCTCCAGTTCCGTCATGCTGCTGGGTGGTGACTCACCTTCTTCCTGGGGCTGCTCTGGCCAAGGAAATGTCCCACCAGAGGCCTCTTGGTGCTTTATGTGTTTGGCTTCATGTTGACACAGCGGGTGGGACAAACAGGGTTGGAATAGTCAACAAATACTGCTCCTCCCATGCTGCGCCTCTTGGTTCTGATGGAACACACTGTTGTGACTTCCTCTCAGGAACTTTTCCTCCAGCCCAGGCCTAGAGCATGGGCCCCCACTGGCTGCCCTCACTTTGCTGTGCTTATCTATATCTGGGGCTCATCACTGAGTCACCGGAAGCCACAGAATCCAGGTCGCTTCTGGCATTTTTCCAGGGCCCAGCTGTAGGGGGACTGGGGGAGGCTGGCTCCTGCTGGCTTCAGGATGGACTTGGAGGCTGTTTTGGGAATGAAAAGTTCTTCTTTCCTCAGAAAAATATGCCCAGTTCAAGTTGCACAACCATCTCACAACTGGTGTCCCCACCCTGAGGGTGGATAGAGGGCCCATGGACAGTAGCAGGGAGAAGGCCAGGCCCTTGCCCTCACCTGGGTCTCTGCCTTGGAAGGCTCCAGCCTTTCCCTGGAGCTCTTGGTCCCCTCCTGGGCATCAGCACTTCCTGTCTGGCCGATGCAGACATCTGGGTGCTGGGCTGGACGAATAACTTTAGTCACAAGTTTCTTACATATTAACTTGGGCACAGAGGAGCCCCTGAAGGACAAAGGGGACACAGGTCCATCCTGTCCCCACCCTGGGAAGCCCAGTGCCACCCTAAACCAGGGGGATGGGCAGGGAAGAAGCATTTCCAGTAAGTCTGGCCCTGGGTGCGGTCAAGAGGTTTCAGAAAACCACAAGGTGTGCAGTGGGGCAGGCAAGGCCTGGCCGGCCCAGCCTGTCCTGAACAAGACATGTAAGGATGGCAGCTCTGGAAGTGGCTCTTCTGTCCTCTGGAGTCTGGGTCACATGAGGGGCACTGAGGAGGAAGTCCATGCTCAGCAGATGCGACCCCGGGTCCAGCATAGAGCCTGGCGAGACAGGCCAAGCCATGTGGGTGAGCAGGCCACCTGGAGCATCAGTGCCCTGCCAGGCCGTGGGACACACACAAGCAAAACTTGGGCTCTGGCCTTGGGGGCTCCCCAGCCAAAGAGGGGTGCCACATGCACAGAGTAGGTGGCAAGGGAGAGCTGACTGAGGGAGGGAGACGCAGGGAGGCCTGGAAGAAGGTTGGGCCCAGGCTGGAAGGACTCTGGTCCAAGTCAGGGCTGGAGAATGGAGTGGGGTGTGGAGAGGGAGTTTGGCGTGGAGGCGGTAGTGTTGTGGGACGTGGGACACCAAAGGAACAGAGACACAGAGAACTGGTACTCAGGGGAACTGAGAAGTCAGGTGGGCGGGAGGGGTGAAGGGGGCTCCACTGGGAAAAGCCCTGCAGGCAGCCCACTGGGCCCACTTGGGTGCGACCCTGCGGGTCTGGGCCTCACAGCCGCAGCTGCGCATCAGAGGTCCTGGGTGATGAAGAGCTGGCTCTGTTGGGACCCTACCCACACTCCCCTGCCCATTTCAAAGGTTGGCTGGGCCCAGAGCTTCCAGGTGATTCCAAAGGGCAAGATCCATGGTCTGGAGAGTTTTCATCCTGGAGACACATGGTCAGATTTGCCCTTTGGAGGCCACTCAGCAACTAGAGTGGGAGGCCAGTGAGGAGCCCACTGCCATACTGGGTCAGGGTTCCTGTAGCACCTGCTCAGGGAAGTGGGGCCTCACAGGAGCAGGGAAGTGAGGGAAGAGGGGGCCTTGCTACCCTCTGATGCAACCTCCCCACTGTGCAGAAGGGGAAAGTGAGGCTCAAGCGAGAAGGCCGTTAACAAGCCTGTGCCCGCTTGCACTTCGCTGCACAAACCATTCCTGAGTCAAATCACTTTTCCCCTTGATAATGTTTTAGACAAATATTTGATAAGGGAGGAGGCTGAGAGAGTTGAGGAAACACGTTTCTCAGGGACCAGCTGAGTGAGTGGCAGGGGTCATGTTCCATGTGGCTGTGAGGGCAAGGGCCATGTCTCACCCTTGGCACATGGCTCCCAGGGAAGGCAGCAGAGGCCCTGAGACCCAGGGTGTCCACTTGCAGACCTCTTTCTCCAGGCTGGAAAGCTGAATGACACCATCACAGCCGACACCCACACCACAGTCCTGGTCAAATGTCTCACCGGGGGCTGGGAGGCTGGCTGTGGTGAAGACAAAGGGAAGGCTGTGAGCTTTCCCGCCCTCTTCCTTCCTGAAACCTGGACGTGGTCTCTGGAGAAGCAGCAGCTATGTCATGGCTGTGTGGATAAGGCTGTGACAGATTCTTGTGGCTTGAGACTGAGAGTGTCTGTCCCCAACTGGCCACCTGTGTCTCTTGGGGGCTGCCATATCAAATCACCACAAATTAGATAGCTGAAAACCACAGACATTTTTCCTTCACTGTTCTGGAGTCTAGAAGTCTGAAATTAAGGTGACTTCAGGGCTGGCTCCTTCTTGGGGCCTCAGAGAGAGAATCTGTCCCTGGCTCTGGTGGCTGCAGCAATCTTGGCTTGCAGCCATGTCACTCTAATGTTTGCCTTTGTTGTCACACAGCCACCTTCCCTCGGTGTGTCTCCGTGTCTCAGGAGGATGTGGCCATCACACAGCCACCTTCCCTCGGGGTGTCTCCGTGTCTCAGGACGACGCAGCCGTGATGAATTCAGGGCCTGCCCTTCTCTAGCACAACCCTATCTTATTACATTTTCAATGACCCTATTTCCAAATAAGGCACATTTTGAGGTTCTGGAAAGGACACAAATTGACATCTTGGATAAGCTCTGTGGTCTGTCAGGGGATCGTCATTATTCCTATGAACTGGTAATAATAGTTCTTACTGTCTCAGGTAGGGGGACTCAGGGATGAACACGACGCAGGAGGAACTGCAATGGGGCTCAGCGGTGGGAACCCCACATGCTCAGAGTATCCTCAGTTCCTTCCTGTCACGTTCCCAGCTGCCCTCCCATGTCAGGGCCCTAAGGCGAGTTGCGTGTCTTGTTACTCCTGCCCCTCAGGAAGGACACTGAGGAGCATCAGTGATAATGTACGGTGACAGTCGGATGCAACAGGCCTGTGGGGCTAACCCCACAGGGAGGGGCTAACCCAGCCAGGGAGGTCAGGGGACCTTCTTGGAGGAGGTGAGCTTTAGGTGAGAATTGAAGGAGTAGGTGTGTGCCACAAAGGGGCCTATTTATTTATTCTGAGACAGGGTCTTACTTTCTCCCAAACTGGAATATAGTGGAATAATTATAGTCCACTGCAACCTCCAACTCCTGGGCTCACACAATCCTTCTAGCTCAGCCTCCCAAGTAGGTGAGACTATAAGTTCATACCACCATGCCCAGGTAATTTAAAACATAATTTATTTATTTTTAAAATTTATTTATTATTTTTTTGAGACAAAGCCTCAAGCTGTCCCCTTGGATAGAGTGCTGTGACATCACAGCTCACAGCAAGCTCAAACTTCTGGCTCAAGTGACTCTCCTGCCTCCACCTCCCAAGTAGCTGGGACTACAGGCACCTGCCATAGCGCCCAGCTGTTTTTTGGTTGCAGCCGTCATTGTTGTTTGGCGGGCCCGGGCTGGATTCGAACCCACCAGGTCAGGTGTATGTGGCTGGTGCCTTAGTTGCTTGAGCCACAGGTGCTGAGCCAAAACAAAACAAAACAAAACAAAATTTATTTATTTATTTATTTTAGAGACGGGGGTCTCACTATGTTGCTCGGGCTGGTCTTGAACTCCTGGGCTCAAGTGTCCTCCTTCCTAGGTCTCCCAAAATGCTGGGATTACAGGCATGAGTCACAATGCCCAGTCAGAGGCTTATTTAGATGAGTGGCCTTCAGAGTATGGTCCCCAGACCAGCAAGTGTCAGAATCCTCCCAAATAAGAAACCTGGGGCAGGACCCCCAGCTGCAGGAAAAGCTGGTTCCAATGCCACCAGCATGAGAACTGCTGGCTAGACACTGGGAGTGCAGGGTGCTCTCAGCAGAAGGAGGAGCCTGTGCAGAGGATAAGCAAGGAGAGGGGGTGGCATGTCTAAAAGAGTTTGGCAGGGCAGTGGCAGAAGTTCTAAGGTTGGTGGGAGGTCAGTGAGCTGGGTAAGAAATTTGGGTGCTCCCTAGAGCTGAAGGTCTGTGATTCTGGGCCTCTGTGAGCTAGGTCAAGTGTGGAATGGTTTTGGTGATGGCAGTGAAATATTAAACACTGGCAAAGGGCCTGGGTAGAAAACAAAGCCCACCTTCTCAGAGAAGATGCAGCAGGTTGGGTAGTGTCTTCCAACAACTTTTTGGGCCAGAGTTTAATGTTCCACAGCCCCATAGAACTCACCACTGCTTTACCCTCTGCTCACCCAAAGGGTTCCTCAACACCACCGCTTAATAAATCTTTGTTGATTCCTTTTGTGAGTCAAGACTTCCAACTGACAGGATATGGGAAAACCCACAGCAACTTGAGAGTGACTGAGTACCAGGCCGAGGCTAGAGGCAGGGAGCTGAAGCCAAGGGGATCAGATACCTTTCTACGTGTTCAAACCCAGGCCTGACTCCAAACTAATGTGTTAACACCCTTCAAATGCCTTTCCTGGTTGGATCCTCTTGGCACTAGCATGGAGTCTTTTCTGGACCTTTGTTTTAAGCAGAAGCACAAGGAGGTCTCAGGAAGTGTCCAAGTGGTAGCAGAAACCTGGCTTCTGCCTCCTGACACAGGTTGCCTGGTGCAGGGCATGTGGCTTGGGGTGAGGAGCCTGTAGCCTGCCTGGCCTTGGCCCCACTGGGCCACTAACTCACTGAATGACCCTGGGTGAGTCCCTTCTGGGGGGACCTCTAGGACCACTTTCTTCATCTGTAAAACAAGGGGTTCAGATTAGATCACCTCTAAGACTCACGGTTCTCAAGCTGAGTTGCCCACGTTCCCTGGCAGCACAATACATGCTCTGGTGCCCTGGAATGCCCAGAATTTTTAAAATTATTTCTGTTTAGACTGAGAAGTTCACAAGGTTT